ATTTGATAAATTCTTTCTCAAATATGTTGTTTCTTTTAATATACTTACCAAATACTTTTAAGAAATAGAACACCCAAAGACTGAAGGCTACTCCTAAAAGTGCAAGTCCCAGCTCTTTTTTCCAAATTCCTGTAGGTGCATTAATTTCTGCAATTGTCTGACAGAAGCTTGCACGATATAATGATTTCTTTTCTTCAATAGATAAATTTTTCCAATCTCCTTTTTCCTTTTCCCTTAATGCCTACATAAAGAATGATGTTAATTTTGTTATGTAATTTTGTATTTAATGTTTCTCAATAAATATATGTTGAACAATAACTTTTTGATTTTTAAACAGTGTTTTGTGGAAATATTTATATACCCATGATTAAAACTACATGTAACTTTGTTGAAATAAATCTATTGCATAGCCAAAATAGGAAAATATTCATTGAGATAAATATTCAGACAAAAAGTGTTTCTATTAATATTTTTCTGATATTCTATAATGAACTTCGTATATACTACTTTTTAGTCTTTTTTGAAAAATTTATTGTCAATAATTATAAGAATTATTATTATACCATGACATCTGGAGTATTTGCTTTGAAACGAATAGCAGGCATAGGATAATCAACACGATCCATATATGTTTCCTGTCCATTATATCCATAGCCTACTACATCTCTATTGCCAATTTGGTCCGGAAAGAAGAAATGGGCTCCTGACATTCCACGGATGTGAAGTGGAATGTTTTGTCGCAAACATGAAATAAGCAGTTTGTTGGCCATTATTTACTGAAACAATATAAAAATTATTAAAATACTATTTAACATTTAGCTTTTGTATTAACATTCATTATTATTTTGTATTATTATATGCTTAATTCATAATATTTACTTATTTATGCAATTGAAAATGTAGTTCTATTTTATATCATGTTTTTTTCATAGAAATCGTACTTTAACTAAATTTATTTAACCAAAAATATTAAACTACTAACTGACAAATTTTTAAAACATTTCTAGAATAAAAATTGATTTCATTAATATGTCATTAAAATATTAATTTATGTTGTAAAAGACATTTAGTTTTCAGGCAATATTGTGTACCGCTTATCGAGTACGTCGAGTGGTTACCTAACAGAATATGAATTTTTTAAAAATCGATTTGAAAAGTAAGTATAAGGTATGCATGAATAAATACGAATAATATTTTACTACATGAAGAACAAGATGATGTACACTGTCAACCAGTATAATTAATAGGATAGTATAATGTATAAAAACTTACATGTCGAAATAAGACACCCACAAGGCTAGATGAAGTTAAAATGGCGAGTAGGGTTAGATCACAGTGATGTGTAGGGTAGTTACGAATACATATATACGTACATACTATACACATATGTAGCTATAGAATAACTGTTTATGCATGTATGTACGCACGCATATGTATAGGTTTCATATACATGTGCATACATACTATACATATGTATTATGTAGAATATCGAAATGTGAAGTATCGATACTAACAATATAATCGTACTTCAAATAACCGCAGG